CCCCCCCCCCCACACACACACCCGCTGGCCGGGACCCTCACCCGTGGGCTCAGCTTTCTCTGCCCTGCCTGGCGGCTCTGGGCTGGGCGCAGTGGGATCTCAGGAGCGGAGTTGAAGCCAGTTAAGAGGAGCGTCCTGCCCTCCTGGTCCCTGGGGTTGTGAAACCCGGAAGGAGGAGGTGCCCGCCCCCCTCTAAGCCCCTCCTCCCGGTAGGAGGCGACCCCGCCCCTCTAAGCCCCTCCTCCCGGTAGGAGGTGGCCCCGCCCCTCTTGAAGCCCCCCCGGAACCACCCACAGAGGTGGCTGACCCGCGCCGTCTGTCTGTCTGTCTGTCCGCCCGCTGCAGGTGGGCTGGATGATGTGGAACTGGATGGTGTCCGCGTTGGCCACGGGCGCCTGCTGCCGGCTTCGCGCTCACCGCCCAGCCCGAGGTCAGCCGCGCTCTGGACCGTCCTCATTAGCTGAGCTGAGTCTGTGCACGGAGGGCAAACCGGCCGCTGGCATTTTTAAACCCTCGGCCATTAACATTTCAATATTTAAATCCTGACATTTGGCTCCTCGTCTCAGCCAGCGAGGCTCCTCCCTAACGAGACCGAAAGGTTAACCACGTCCCGGGAACTGAGTGTCCGTTCAGCCGGGTTGGGCACGCAGATGGGAGGCGGGCCCCGCGCTGGGGGAGGAACCTGGAGGAGCTCAGGGTGACCCCGTTCTCTCCTGTGCCCCAGCATCACCATCCTGGGAACCGGGGCCAAGTGGCTGTCGGTGCTGGAGGAGAGAGACCTGAAGCCAGGTGAGCCCCTGACGGCCACCCTCCCCCACTTCCCCCAGGGAGGTCGCCCTCCCCCTCCAACCCTCCACTTCCCCCAGGGAGGCCACTCCCTCCTTTACCCTCCCCCACTTCCCCCAGGGAAGCCAGCCCACAGGTGCAGGCGGGGTTTCACCTCTCTGCTTCCTCTCGCAGCTGAAACGCACAGTCTGCAGACGCTGCACACGATCCTGTCCACGGGCTCCCCGCTCAAAGCGCAGAGCTACGAGTACGTGTACACGTGCATCAAGAGCAGCGTCCTGCTGGGCTCCATCTCAGGTGCGCCCTCCGGGGGCCGGGGTCCTGCAGGGCTCAGCGGGGTGGGCGCCC